TTTATTCATCTTGCTTTTTCTCATTATGATATGGTCATTTCCTTTATTTGTTGCAGAGAAGTTCAGATCAGACTTGATGAATATTGCAAGGACTACTTTGAGCTCAAAAATCTTGTCTCAGGACAAGGAGCATTTTGCAAAACTGGCTGTTGATGCGGTTATGAGGTTAAAGGTCAATATTTCATCTGCTTTAGCGACTTACAAAGAAAATGTTTTTTCTTTTTAATCGTGTGATCTTGGTCGATCTGCATTATTCAAAATTCTAATGTGAATGAAACTTAGTTTTCCTCTTCCTTATCTATAAATAAACAGAGTCTTTCTTTTTTCCTTGGTCAAACACTAAATATTTTTCTTCGAAGGGTTAGAGATTTGGTTTCGCCAAATTAGGACTTTTTCGCTTTCTTTCAGCGAATAAGTTCATCAACTTCTGCTTTATATTGTCAAATGTGAAAAATTAACATGAAAATGAGTCTATCACTTATCTATTGGTAGAAAGATGTGTGCTCTCTCATTATCTCTTCCCATCCCCTTCCGTTTGTTAGTTTTATTCATATATCGTGTTTTCAATCTTTTGCTAAATTGATTGTAATAACAGGGAAGTACCAATCTTGAAGCAATCTAGATAATTAAGAAACCTGGAGGGTCATTGAAGGATTCATTTTTAGATGAAGGGTGAGTAAATAAGCTCAAGTTTTCTTCTGGTTTGAACTATTTACTACTATATGCATAGGCTTCCCATGTCTAGGCTCTTCTGATTTATTTGTTCTTCATTCTCAAAAATGGTAATTTCTGATTTTAAGACATATGACTGTAGTGCTTTATTGATTCTTGCATCTTTGTTCTTTGTTTACATTGGTGAAAACAGGCCTGTTTATTCAATGTGATTCCACTGCAATTGTTACTGTATCCTTCAGTTGATGAATCTGATGTCCATATAGTTGGTTTTCTTGGGCCTTAACTAATTGTAGAAGAGTCTGCCTTGAGCCATCATGAGCCTACATTTCTTGGCCTTAACTAATTCCAGTACTTGGCTAGATTGGTGCTTGTTTCTTCCGTTACTCTCTAGATTAGAGTAACTGAAACACTCAATCCACATTAAATGATCCCAAACCATATAATCCAGACTTGATATGGAATTACTTTCTGGCGTTATGTACAAGTTGTAAGTTTTTCCTGTTACCCCAGCCCCCCCTCAATGAAATATAAGTTACGGCAGTTCCTTTTTCTTGATGAATGACAAATCTATGTGTCTAGGAAAAGCTTTTTATTTTATACTCTTTTGAAGTGGTAGTAAAGTTTCTTTTTGTAGGTTTATTTTGGACAAAAAGATTGGGGTTGGCCAACCAAAACGCATAGAAAGTGCTAAGATTTTGGTGGCAAATACTGCTATGGATACAGATAAAGTGAAGATATATGGTGCACGTGTCGAGTTGACTCAATGGCCAAGGTTGCTGATCTAGAAGCAGCTGAAAAGGAAAAAATGAGAGAGAAGGTGCAAAAGATTATTAGTCATGGAATAAATTGCTTTGTTAACCGACAGCTGATCTACAATTTCCCAGAGGAACTATTTGCTGATGCTGGAATACTTGCAATAGAGCATGCTGACTTTGATGGTATTGAGCGGTTGGGCTTAGTTACTGGGGAAGAAATTGCATCGACCTTTGATAACCCAGAGTCCGTCAAACTTGGCCACTGCAAACTTATCGAGGAGATCATGATTGGTGAAGATAAGCTGGTCCACTTCTCTGGGGTTGCAATGGGACAGGAATGTACAATTGTTCTGAGAGGTGCAAGGTGAGTTGGTGTTATGGTGTCTGCCTTTTATTTTCATATGTTTCAGTTGCTTGTGCAAGCTTGTTATGCATAACTGTGATGTCCCTTGTGTGAGTATTAAACCAAGACATTGTAGACGCATAATTTTTACCTCTCCCTCCTCTTAAAGGTAGTTTGAGCATTTAAATTTGTTCTTGAAGTCTAGGGATAATTATTTTTTATGTAAAAGAAAAAGAAGCATTGTTCGACTGTTGGTTTTTACTTTTACTAGAGGACCTCCTCGACTCCTTAGTGCTTGTGTTCTCTGAAAATGGATCTGATGGTAATTGGCCCACCTTGCATTCTTCTGGACTTTTTGTGTTTTCCTTACTGGGTTTTAAATATGATGATATGTTCTACTTGTGATGTGTTTCCTTGTTAACATCTCCGTTTGTTCTTTTTTTCAGCCCTCATGTACTGGATGAAGCTGAAAGATCTCTGCATGATGCATTGTGTGTACTATCTCAGACAGTAAATGACAGCAGGGTTCTACTTGGAGGTGGATGGCTCGAGATGGTGATGGCTAAGGCGGTTGATGAACTAGCTAAGAAGACTCCAGGTAAAAGGTCTCATGCAATTGAGGCTTTCATCCATGCACTTTTGGCAATTCCAACCACCATTGCCAACAATACTGGGTTAGACAGTGCTGAGCTGATTGCTCAGCTTCGTGCTGAACACCACAAGGACGAAAGCAATGGAGGAATTGATGTCATCTCTGGATCTGTGAGTAACTGATTTAAGATTTTTTAAATGAACTTTGTTGTCATGCTATGAGTTCAGAACAGTTTCGAGTATGGAGCTGTTCTGAGCTTGTTGTCTCTGCTTTCTTTTTGCTCGACTTTACCTTAAGGATTAAAATAAGTTCAAGATGGAAACGATAAAAAGCTAAAACTGATGCGATATCCTAAAGTTAGCTCTAGTTGGTAAATCTCTAGTCAGATCTGTTTTCCTTCTTGAGAGATTTCACCATAACCACCAGTTGACTTTAAATAGCTGGTGCTTAATTTGTTTGCAACTTGATCGATGTTTGATAAAGTTAATGTTTGCCGCTCTCTCTCTTGTGGATGAATCATTGTTTTCCTACCTCTTGCCATAAGTGTCCTTTGTTTTACTAGTTTGACAATAGTTCTAGTACTGAACACTTTTAACGGTAAAGCAGCAGCTATTGTTGGCCTTACTCTAACCTCATTTTTTCATGCCCAAAGGTTGTTTGCAAACTATAGAATAAGAAGCAATAGGTGAGTTAATTGACATTAACCGAAATGGAAGAGATGGATCTTAAAGTCTTTTTCCTTGTGTGGCTTGAATGAAAAGGGTGAAGCGACGATAAATTGTCCTTTTCTCTTCTGACTCAGGAGGGGGCTTTCTTTGTTTTTGTTCTTCATCTTGTTTCCATTCCCCATAGCACTTGCATTTGATGATCAAATTCTTGCTTGCTTATTAAGAGTCTAAATTCACTTATTCAACTGGGCAGGTTGGAGATATGTCAGAGCTAGGAATATGTGAGTCATTCAAAGTGAAACAGGCAGTATTGCTCTCTGCCACTGAGGTCACTGAGATGATCCTAAGGGTTGACGAGATCATCACTTGCGCCCCCGGAGGAGGGAGGGAATGTAAAAAAACACATATTATTATGGTTTGAGAATTTGAGATGGTAGGTAGGTGTTGACAGTCGTAAACGAACCAAAATGATAGATTGCTATTGGAACCATGCACTACGTTGAGTAGTTTATTTTGTTTTTGTTTTTGTTTTTGTTTTTGTTTTTGTTTTTGTTTTTTTGAGGAAATGCTTTGGTTTGTTTCATCATGTAAGTTTTAAGTAAATGCATGGTTCTATTACTCTAGACATGTACTTGTTTTCTATCAACACTAGTGATTTTGTCATTTCAAGCATGAAAGAGTTGGTAATGTGTATAGATACTTAAGGCCTGTTTGGCCATAGATTTCCCAAGTAATATTTGGAGGGGAATTTGGCAAATAGTGTTTGTTCATATAATTTGTCATTATTTGGCAAATATCCCAAATTCCCAAATACTAGTTTTTTCTAGTATTTGGGCCAAATCTCATTATTTGGGATATTTTAAAAATTAAAATTTTATACCAAACTTTTATCTTTTACAAAAACATCCTCTATAGTAGTTGTTTGCGTTGTATTACATAATTTTTTACGTGAACACCAAAATAGTGATGAAATATTCAGTGAATATGAAAGTGATGATATGATTGTTGATGAAAATGATGAACAATTGACCCATGGTAACAAAGTTATGTGCTTTGTCTACTTTACGATGTATGGAATGATGCTTGTTGGTTGTTGCACTCACTCCAAACTACCACATTGCTCTAGTGTTATGGACACTACTTGTTATTTGTTGCAACGAAGATCCAATTGACTTGTAATACAAATTTATGGTTAGTTTTGATAGTTTTAAAAATTTATGGGTATAAATCACATTTTTTCTAAAAAAGTCAAATATGTTTCCCAAATATTATGGCTAAACACATGGTGAAATTTCACCCAAATAATATTTGCCAAAAAAATTTGGAAATCTATGGTCAAACGCTAGCTTAAAAAAAGTTAGCCCAATTCAAGGAAAATCTTTGTCAATCATTTTCTTGAATATGATAAAATTAAGCACGATGGAGACTTGTTATAGAAGATATCTTCATTTTTCAATATTTAGATGACTTATATTTAATAAGGGTGATTGTGGTAAAATTATCCCTATCATATATTGTTTTTTTATTTTTGTGTCATGTCAATAGTGAACAACTATTATTTGACAGAAGGAATATTATTTTATGTAGATATTTCCTTCGTCCATTTTTACTTGTCCACTATATTAAAAATAGTTGTCCAGTTTAAAAAAACCAGGAGATAATTTACCCTTTTTGTGTCTATTTTACCCTTCCTATTAAATATTACTTCCTCCGTCTCATATTAGTTGGTCACTTTTCATTTGCATAGTACTTACAAAAATCATAAATAAAAAGGTAATTTTACTAATTCAACTAATATAAAACAAGGAAACGTTCAATATTTAATACTCACATTTCTCAAAGCATTAAATTTAAGGAGTACTATAGTTTTGTCATTATTTAAGGAACCAAAGTGTCATTATCCAAATCCAAATTTTCAAAAACTACTCCCTTTTCCCGCTGAAATCCTCCCTTATAAATATAAGAACTCTTCATTTCCCACCATTTTTTCTCCATTTTTCAAAAAACAAAAGCAATGGCACCGAAAAAACCCTCTTCTTCTCCGATTCCCATCGGTAAGAATCATCCAAAAAATTTCCGGTAACAGTTCACTGATCTTCTCATAATAATCTCTAATTTTTTTTTCATTTTTTTGTTGTAATTTTAAGGAAATTGCGAGGTTGTTGTGGAAGCTGGGAAGTTCACCTCAGAGTTAAACGAAAATAGTCTCAATATTTCTTTGTCAAAGAATGTCGAAGTCAAAATTTCTGGTAACTTTTTGTTGTTGTTTACCTCTGGTAATAAATCTGTGGTTTATACAACTTTTCTGATGTATACTGAAAATTTGATGCTGTTTGAATCGTGTTAGTACTCTTTTCATTTCAATTTAAGTGTTTTAATTTGATTGGGCATGGAATTTAATAAAAAAAAAGATAAACTTTTGAATTGTGTGGTCTTAATATAAAGACGCGTGTAGTTTTTAAAATCTTGTGGTTATAAACTTGTCAGGTAGAATGTTGGAATTAGAGAACTTACTAATTATAGAAAAATACACTCATTTTGGGACAGACTGAAAAAGTGTATTTTTTAGTATTTGTTTTGGGATTGAAGGAGAATTATTGGTAATATTATAAAGTTGTTTACTTTTTGTTAATGTGTTTGTAGTTGTGGATGGTGGGAATCATTCAAAGGAATGCAAAAACCCTATTGAGTATGAGGAAAATGGTATGGAGTATTGATTCTTTGTTGGGATGAATTTCTCCTTTTCTTCTTTTTATTGAATTTGTTGTCTATAACTTTTCTTGATTGGTGAAATGATTGATTTTGTTTTGGGGTTGTGGCGATTAGGAAATTATTGTTTTGTGCTCATTAATCCCAAAGATGATGATGGAAAAACCAAGTCTTTACTTCAGGTAATTCCTTCTTTTCATGTGTGTGTATGCCTATGTTTGTTTATAGGTATTTTGAGTGCAGTGTGTATATTCAATTCAATCAACCTTGCCTTAGTACCAAGCTACTTCATGTCAATCATATGAATTCTATGTATACATTATGCTTGATTCCTTAATCATATTTAGACTTTTGTAGCATGTGCGTATAGTTCCTTTAGCTTAGTTCTTGGACACAACCTTACTCATGAGTCTTGCTCTTGCACTTGAAACTTGTTGAGGAAATGAAATGGTAATTTGATAAGAATTTGGTTGGGCATTTTGCTTACAGCATTATGCAAATCTGGGGGTACCATTCTCCAAAGAAAATGATTGTTTGGTTAATACTAGCTCTGTATTTTCGAAGATACCTACCTGTTTGTCTCTGCCAGTACTCAACAAAGTTCTGCCAGAAAATGGTGGCTGACATTCTAAGTATGAATTGGTCCATAATTTAATATGTTTGTGTAGAGTATCAACCTATAGATGCATTGATATCAACTAGGTAAAAACTTGAACATAGGGTGGTAGGGGAAATCCGCTATGTCTGTGCATTTGTGATTAATTGCCCTTTCTATGTTCATTGGTTGACAAAATCAGAAAATAACAAATTATGTTAGTTGTGTTGCTTATGCATTGTATTTCAAATGAAGGCTGTGTTTTCTTGCTCTGTTGCTTGTTTGTGCTTATCTTTTACCCAGTTTGATAGTTGTAGACTAATTGGCAGTTCTGCTTGCACTGAGTTGGTTCCTTGTATATTCCTCACTTGTTTTTGTCTATGCTGTGGCAGGAAGTATTGAGCATTTATTCTAAAGAGCTTCCGGCCATGAACTATGCTGCAAACACAGGAAAAGAATCACAATTCCTTGAAAAATGTGTATCAAATGGGTATAAGCATGTAGTTGATTTTTTCTTGTGTACTGATATGTTTTGTCTGTGCTCATTTAGTACAATCCTGCATTGTTGCTATCATTTTCTGCAAAAGAAATATTATAGTCTGTTGGATTTCACAATATTTCAGATGGATGAGAATCTGTATTCATTTTGAATGTTGATTGCTTTTGCAGGAAGTACTGCACGCTAGTTCTGAAAACCAAGGATGACATAGACCCTGGGGAGGTATACTCTCAAGCATTACTGCACTTGTGCTTATTATGTGCTAGGTGGGATAAGTGGAATGAAAAATATTCCATCCTCAAGGTCATCAAACTTGATGGCATGCATATAGATGATTTGTATGTATTAACATTACTATTTAACTGAACAAGTCTGTGTTCTTGCGAAGATTTTCTGGTTTTATACTATAGTCTACAATCTACACCTTATATCAATAGTCATGATTGACTGCACGTTGCTTTAACTGAAATTCTGCTCTAATCCCTTTTTTTGCTTTTCATTATGTCAAAGGTTATTGCAGCAATCACTTATCAAATAATCCCAGCTGATATGCAATTTGCTGAGGTTCCTCTTGCGGCTGTTAAATCAGTTTACCAACTCAAGGTCCTCTAGTTGTTCTCTAGCTTTAATATGAATCTTATGTTGATTTGTGATTGTCGTTTTGATTCATAGTCTGGCTTTAGAATACACTCATCATTTCTCTCATGCTTGCGAGAGAAATGATGCAAAATTGAAAATATTTCTGTCAGAACTGTGTAACTTTGTGACAAACATTGATGTAGTGTTCTGTTTAAACTTGTTAAAAAACTTCATCTTCTTTACTCTTTATTTACTTTTCTTTATTCTTTTTAGGAGAGATGCCTATTATAGACTCAAATTAACCAAATAAGAGTGCCCATTCTTTACCAGTTTAAGCTTCTAGCTTTGGTACACATCATTCAACAATCCCTTCATAACTATTCTGAATTTCTAAACAAGGTGCACCTTTTTTTAAGTTTGAAAAACTTAACTTTCCAATTCATGTGCATGCAATTAATTTTGACAAATTTCCATACTAGATAATGCTCAATGATATAGGAACTTGGGACAATATTAACACCCTGAGCTTGCAGGGGATTGGTTATTTAATCTATTTGGAGTTGAGGAAAAGATTGCAACATGTGGGTGTTCGAACAGTACTTTGCTGGGGAGATAAGGAGTCTGAAGGATTTTGGCTTAAGCAGGTAAACCTTCAATGATGTTTGTAAGAGAAATATAACCAATCAAGGCTGGTTTTAAAATATTACGCATTAGTAACATCTGTCTCTCCAAAAGGAAATACATAACAAGTATTTTCTTAATATAAAAGACTACCAAAAAGCATGCTTTGTAACATAAGTTTCATAATTTTTATGACCCTTTATCTAGTCAAGAAATCCAAATATCAAAATGCATCATGGGATTATCTTCTGATATATCCCTCTGCATTTCTCTGAATAATTAGATGCAGATAATACAAACCAAACAGGTGCATAAATGCTGGCTATTCTGCGATCTGATCAATGACCATTGATTTATATGCACATGCTTTCACTGTTGCTCCTACACTCTATGATAATATGAAATATCTGTAGGGATTTTCAGTTATTGGTCAAGTTGACACGAAAGGCAGAGCTCGCAAGCTTCCTATCAAGGCTGATATTCGGAAAGCATTGTGCTTTCCTGGTGGTTCAAATCTCATGATTTCTCATTTCAATAAGGATAACTTACAGAGTTCTGCAGTGTATCTAAATCTGAAATTCCCCTTAAAGCCTTTAAGAGAGGATTGCCAATCTCCAATTCTCCAAGAACAAAGGGATACTCCGTCTGAGGGAAATAACCATTCCCTAGGAAGAAGTCAGGCAACTAAAACCATGGGTTCTAACTACTATGGTAAGTGAAGCTACTGCTTTTAATTTTCATCTTGTATCAACTGCATGGTAAGTTTTTTGTATCCTTGCAACAATTACTTATTTGCACACATCAAAATAAGTTGCTAGCTACATGGTGCATTCAGTAATCTTATAACCCTTAAATGCCTGGGTGCATCAACATTATTTTTAGTAATTTTTTGAATTTAGAGAAAAAAGTAAGTTTAGAAGCATATTACGACTTATCTTTCCATGTGTAGCGCTAATCTCATTTTCTGTATTTCTTTCAAGATTTTCAACCTGGAGATGGTGCTATCGGGAGCAGCAAACATGGACATATAGGATTTAATGAAATGGAAAGCCAAACTCTTCTGAATAAATGTTCCTGTTCAGCGTCAGGATCAAAAAAGAGGACTTGGGAAACCTCACATACTTCTGTTAAATCCAAAAAAATAAAGGGAGGCCATCAAACTGACTGTGACTTGCATTCTAAGGACATTAGCTTAGAAAGTGTTTCGGGGAACAGTTTTTCTGCTATCTCTAAGAGCAAATGTCAGGTAGGTATTACTCCCAAGGATCATTTGACAAGCCACTTTCTGGAAAAGAATGCTGTAGAAGCTACAGCAGTTAATTTGACATATGAAGGGCATAGTAGTCAAGGTATTTCCTCAAGAGGGACAAACTTCAGAATTATGCTGATGAACATTGCTGATGATAGTAAAAAGGCAAATTTGACCAAGGTATACTCTAATTGCCTACTCTCTTCCCAGATACTGTTTTAATGATTATTTGATGTTTAACCCATTTCCTAATATAATTTTGTAAACTATGCTTATTGTTCCTTTTAAATGCACATTTTATGCTGAATATGCAGATAATTGGAGACCTTGGTGGAGATGTTACTGCTGATGGAAGTTTAAGCACACACGTAGTCACTGGCAAAGTGAGGAAAACTTTGAATTTCTGCTCTGCTCTCTGCTCAGGGTCAGTTTCTTTTATCTTGACTATTCCTTACATGGAGATTTGTTGTTTTCCTATTTTCTTATGTCCACTGTTTCTGCTAGGCCACTTTGTTGTTCTTTATCAGTAGTAATATTGAGAGGGGAAGAAAAACCAAAACTGACCATTTGAAGACATAAAACCAGGAGAGGTAAAAAAACATAAAGTTATGTTAATTAGGCTATAGTACTAGTTCAGAATAGTCAGGAGTAAGTCCAGGTTTTAAGTCTCTCGCATTACTGGCCATGGGCATGTGAACTACAGTTGATGAGGAACGATCAAATCAAAGATCAGTATTGTGCTTCGTAGGTTTATTTCAGGTTAATTGATGAGTATTTTCTTTCTTAAGATTGCTTTCAGCTTTCCTTTATGAAAAGGATATTTTTCCAAGATGGACATCCTAAGAGCCTGTACAAAATTGTCACAGCATGTTCAATTAAGAGATTAAGGAACATTTTGTGCAAAATATCCTAAAACTATGAGAAAATATAGGTCTGCATTTATAGGACAAGTTTTTGATAAGTTGATTTTTGTTGTTGTGCTTTTAGTAAAAGGGGTATATATTCATAGCTGAAGCTACTGTGCATAGTGGTACCAAAGTGTTAAGATACTATTAAATGTCCTTTGAGTTTTTGAACTGAGGTCAACTATCTTTACAACAACAATAACGACAGCATATCTGGTGTAGTCCAACAAGTGGGGTCTGGGGAAGGTGGGGTGTACGCAAACCTTACCCTACCTTTGGCGGTAGTAAGGTCTACTGTCTTTATTTTCTTAAATGTATGGACAATACTTCATCCATTCACTTCTTTTTGTCCAGTTTTACTTTTTGAGTTTCCAGAACTTGCAACCTAAATTCTTGTAAGTATCTAGACTCCTAAATTTGATTTCATGTTTTCTTGTTTTTGATCTTGTGGAAATGTGATCAGAGCTTGGATACTGTCACCAAATTGGTTGAAAGAAAGTTTCCGAAATGGCAAATTTTTAGGTGGGTAAAAACTGTTACTTTTTACCTTAATTGGAATATTTTTGACATTTGTTGATCAGTTGCCATTGGGTTTTTCAGATGAAATGCCTTTTATTTTGAGGGATGAAGACTATGAACTTAAGTACAGAAGTGAGCTAAAAGGGGCAGTTCTTAGAGCAAAAGCATACCCCCAAGCTCTTCTCAAGGGTTATGACGTATGTCTTGCAGCTCATGTTCATCCTCCAGTTGGTACCTTATCAGCCATTGTAAAATCTGCAGGAGGCAATGTGAGTTAGTAATATTTATTAATCGAGCAAGCATTTTTTGGAATATTCAAAATGTTGTTTATGGATTCATATAGTTGACCTCAACTTGTTTAGGACTTAAACATAGTTGTAAGAAATGAGGTTTATGTTGTTCCAATCATGTCAAACTTCAGCTCTCTCTACTTGAAAGAAAACCACAACAAGAAAAAATTGAAACTAAAGGAAATGAAGTTAAGTTATTTAGAAGCGCTGGTCAACTTTCTTAGCAGAATTTGGTTTTAGGACATCCTTATGTTTTATAGCTCCATTGAGCATATGTTGGAGAAGGGGGAGCCTTGACACAATGGTCAAAAATTTCATGGTGTGACCAAGAGGTCATAAGTTCAAGCTGCAGAAACAGCCTTTTGCAGGAATGCAAGTAAGGCTGCGTACATAAGATCCAATGTGATCTGGCTCTTCCAGTAGTCCCGTGCATAGAGGGAGTTTAGTGCATAAGGCTTCCCTTTGCTGAGCATCTATTGTGTAGACACTTTTAGATACATACAATATTTATCCCAACAGACATGTTTAATTTCCCCTGCATTATTTTTACGTGCATTTCTTATCAAATTCTCAGGTTATATGTGGACTCAATCAAGTGAAAGATGAATCTAAAACAATATTCGTTGCTTGTGAAGAAGACGTGGATGAAGCATTGTCAGCAGTGAAGAAGGGAATATGGACTTTCAGCAGTGACTGGTTTATGAACTGCATCATGAAACAAGAGCTTGACTTAGGAGCTCCTCAATTTGCAGAGTGCCTCTAATGCATAGATAAAATTGTTCAAACTGGTCTGAAAATTATGGAAAAATGTGTATTTTCTGAGAAAGAAAATTGAAACAAATAAACTTATGATTAATGTATATATGCTGTTTGTTATTGACAGTTGGGGAGAAACACAGCATTTTTCTCAACATTTGATAGTGTTGAGAAAATGGTGTTATTCTCAACATCTGATAGTGTCATTTTTCTTTCCAATGTTATCATTGTTATTGACTAACCTTTCTCCAGAGGCGGATTCAACTAAACCCATCATTTTTATACATGTGGAAAATATCAAAATCTAAACACTTCTAAAGGTTGAGCCTATTAGGTTTAAATCCACGATCCACTTTTGCCTTCATGGATGTCTATAATTTATGTTGCAATACAATACACTTTATATGGGCAAATGTCAAAAGTCTTACATAACTTCAAAAATCTGGAATGTTGTGATAGCCATAGACTTTGGTCTTTCATCTGCTCTAAATTTCTCATGATCTTTCTGCACTTGAAAAACGTTTTGGCACGTACAAATCATGACTGTTCTGTTAGCTGTTTGAGATCAAAACATGACTAGACATTATCACAAAAGGCTGTGCTGCTTTTCAACAAATCCATTCCATTCTAAGTTCACAAATTCAATTCCATGAGTTTTCATCAAGTAAACTCATTTAACATTTCCATATTTCTACTATTGTAATAAGAACACAATCAAGATACAACATACAAATATGCAGCCAAACAAGGACTTGTTATTGTTTTATTCAAATACAACTCATTTAAGATACATGAGCTCAAGAAAAAAGCGGAATGAAATATTGATAGGGGTACATAGTCAATTTTTTTTATATGTCTGAATGCCTGTGAAGGCAGTCTGAACTACAGTCATACTAACCGTGAAAATAACAGCAAGGAACACAAGGAAACTCCAGGGACCACTAAAGTACCTTTGCTTAAATTCAGCATAGCCAACTCGTAGAGGGAGGAGATTTTTACTTTTGAAGTAAGTAGAAATCTGTCGTTTGACATAGTTAATAGCTTCATGATTGGACTCATTATGTGCTGTTATATCTCTCAAGAAGTTAACCACTTGATCATCGCCAATTTTGAAGTTGACCTTGAGTATGCCCCTGGCTCTCAGCTCCTTAACATCTTCCTCTCCATTAATTAACATACACATGAAACTCAAGTAAGATGAGATCCCAGAGGATTTATATAGCATGCTGGACGAATATCCATAAGCAAGTAGATTTGAAAACAAGGTCACAGTCCATTCATCTATAGTTAGTTGTGGAAGGAACAAATACCCTGATAACATAGATGATTTAAAATGGATGTCTTTTGGGGAAAAGAAAATGTGATGATCTGATATCGCACAGCTGCATCGAATGCCTACTTTCTTCAACTCTGTGACTGAGAAAGGTGAATGATCTTCTTCTTCTTTGTTTTCTTCTTATTCTTCTTCTTCTTTGATATCATCTTTAAATAAAACATTGATCCATAAGTCTCTATAATATTGAAGAAGATGTACAGGATCTGTAGCGTCTCCCTGCTGAAGTGGACAACGACAAGAGGCTTCTTCGATATAATCAGTTAATGTAGAAGTACTTGGAGCAGAAGATATCATTAACAACGGCATTTGGAGGAATCTTAAGGTTAAAAAGTGCAAAGTAAACCATTCACTTCTAAATGCAAGTGCTAACGTATCTAGAATTTGGAAAGGCAATTGATTTTCAAGCAATAAAAGGTCACGATGCACCAAATCACTATCATGTTTCTTCATGGTATTCAACGAGTTCCTCCTGCCACTAGTAGAGTAGTAGTTATATTGTTGTTGGAGATGAATTCAATAACAAAGCAGCCATCAAGGAACATCATCAGACACCAATCACGGTCAGAAATTCCGTGCCAACGAGACACATTATAACACTCCTTAGTAATACTGAGCAAGTCTTGTTCAACACTTGCATACACTTGTTCAATGGATACCTCATATTTTACTCTTTCTGCTAATTCCCTCACTGCTTTCCGCTTAAAATTCTCTATGGGTGCAACATGAGGTTTTCCATAGTGGATTGGACCAATGGAAACCACACGGGGCTCGTAGTACTTGTAATAATCTTCCTTACTAGTACTCTCGGCAAATGTATGTGGAATACCAAAATGTATTTTCTGTGTCAACTCTTCATGTGGTGTTGTACCTAACGGAGAGCTAGGTATATCAATGACAGAATGTAACCATTCAGCCACTTCGGCTGCTCTACTGTTGTTAGCATCAGCCTGAAGAATTGACATTCAAAGAGACGATAAGATCAGTGGGACCATCAAAGAATATATATATACAGAGAACGAAAATTAAGAATATATCATTTAGCACTTCAATTAGTTTATGAAAAAGCTACAAGTTTTTATAGCATTACTTTGATACCAAGTCTGGTATCTTTTGCTTTAAGATCATACCTTTATTCTCAACTTAACACACTAATAAAGACAGATTCTAGTATTTAAACAGCACTTGTGAATCCTTTTTTTTTTTTTTTATAAATAACCGTGGTGTCTGGGTCAGCTTGCGTGCATCTCCACTAGTTCTATGGAACGTGTGAATTCTATGTCAATGTTTGTTTATAGATCAAAGTTTCTATGAAATGCAGATAGAATATTCAATCAAAGAAACTTCCTTAATAATAAATTATCACAACTGAAGGTTAAATGGTGTTGTCACTTGTACTCAACATCTGAGACTCTGGGTCATTTTTCTTCCCAATTTCATCTAAATGCTATCATTGTGATTTACTAAACCTTTCTCGAGAGCTAAACATGACTATCCGTTATATGAGCATTGTTGACACCTAATTTTGGACCTCCACAATATAAATTAATCATCGAACTTCCTAAATTCTAAATGATTTGAAATAATTGGTTTTATAAAATTCAAAATAATTTTCAAATCATTTTAAGTAGTTCTGTCATTTTTATAAATTTCAAAATAATAAATATGATAGTTTCTATAATTACGTGTCTAATTAGTATATTTTGTGAATGGTCGAAAATTGTGTCAAAAGAATTTTAGTTTTATTTAAATATTTGGTTATTTAGTTTAAATTAATTAATAGCTTATATTTTAAGTTAATTAGTTTATAATTAAGTTAATTATTATATAATTATGTATAATTAGTATATATTATGAATATTGGAAAATCATCTCAAAGATTTTATTTCTTACTTAAATATTTTTATTAAATTAGTTTAGTTTAAATTATGGTTTTAACTTTGAGTAATTTAGTTTAGCTAAATTTATTATCTTATTCAATTGAAATTAGGAAGTTCGTTAATTGATTATATTAGTTCATCTCATTTAAATTTTAGCCAAATTCTTTACATAACGTTCTTAATACACTTGGCTATTGTATTTATAAATATACCCCATTTCTATAATCCTAATTTCAACTCTTAAAATGTCAAATTTTGGGGCCCATTTACAAATTGCAGCAGCTTTTTTTTTCTCCCTTTTATTCAATTCAAGCAACACCCCACCCTTTTAATTCCCCAAACTCACAATACATATAACAACAAAACAACGTACACCAACCGGCCCCACCCCCTTTTTCCCTTCTAATTTCAACAATAGCAGCAACAATCCAAAATGTCAACAGCAGTTGTACGCAGCAACCCTGCTGCCTCGGATTTTCTGGGATTTTGGAGAAATTTCATGCCAAACTCAGTTGCTCCCTGTTGGCCTTGAAAAGGAGCAAGAAATTTGAATTTGAAATGAAAAATTTCACCCAATTTCCCCCTAATTTTCATCTATATATTCATCTCTTTTGATCACTAAAAAAGGGGGGAGAAATAGAGGAAAATTGATTTAAAAAAAAAAACAACCGGAAAGAGTTAAAAAAAAAAAAACAGAGAGTTTGAGTCTCCTTTATTAGAATTCAAAGTTATTTTATTTTTTGGAACCCATCGAAGCAGGCTCACAGTGGTGGTAGTTCTTCGTGGTTAAACTCGTTGTCTCAGTTCCTGCCCGAAAAAAGGTGAACTCTTCTCATCTTTATTCTGTGTTTTTCAACTTCCTTTATCAACTCTTGGCTAGTTAATCATAGTATTATTGGGTTTTCATAGTTTGGAATTTAATTGTGTTGATGATTTTAGCTGAAAATGTTCTTCCCATGTGTCTACTGCTATGAAGTATTGGGACATTAACATAAATATTTCTGTCCATGAATATTGAATCGGCCCTAATGCAAACTTAGTCATTGTCGGTTTCTTTTGCTAACTCTAAAACGCTCTTCTATAATGTTTTCCAATTTAATTTTCTCACCATAGTTCAGGGTCATACAAGCTTTGGCTGCCCAGATTTTACTTTTTCATCTTGTCTTAATAAATTTTACATAATAATGCATATTAATTTGTAATTTGTTGCAAGCATGGTTATAGATCGGGTCTTGTTTAAGTGTAAATTTTTTGCACCAAAGGGTGAATCTATCAAATTTGGTGTTGAGAACTTGCAATAGCTTTCTTTTCTCTTGTTATTAGTGATGGTCAAAGCTTGCTTGTTAACCTCTTGGTGATTAAGTTTATTATGGAAAGTGTAGAATAAAAGATTAGAACAAAGAATAAATCTTGCTTGCTACAGATTAGTGGTAGGTAATTTTGTCCTGATCACTTTGATCTATAGGACCATTGGCATGTGATATTGGTTGAGCTATTTTTATTTTACTGTGTTGTTGACATTTATATATAACTAGTACTAGTATAAAAGCATGTTGGCATAGTGACCTGGAAATACAATATTTGTCCAGTTGTCTTCACTAGGAAATCATCTCCAAAGCTCCCATTTGGTCACATGATATTAGTCAACATGTGTACTAGTTGAGCATCATCATTTTAGGGCCAATGAGTGTTTGCTAACAATCTGGAAAGCCATAGTAATATTCAATTTTGATCTCTTTACATGTGATATGAATGATTACAAACTAATCTTTATCCCTCTTTTTTTTCTTTTTTTTTTTTGC